GTTTCCGGTGAGAGTTGGACTCCGCCAAGGTTGCCCTTTGTCACCGATTCTGTTCATTACTTTCATGGACAGAATTTCTAGACGCAGCCGGGGTGTTGAGGGGATCTGTTTTGGTGGCCTTAGGATCGCATCTCTGCTTTTTGCGGCTGATGTGGTCCTATTGGCTTCATCAGGTCGTGATCTGCAGCTCTTGCTGGAGCGGTTCGCGGCCGAGTGTGAAGCGGCTCAGTGCCTCCAAATCCGAGGCCATGGTCTTGAGCCGGAAAAGGGTAGAGTACCTTCTCCGGGTCAGGGGGGTCGCCCTGCCTCAAGTGGAGGAGTTTAAGTATCTGGGGATCTTGTTCACGAATGAGGGAAGAAGGGAGCGGGAGATCGACAGGCGGATTGGGGCAGCGTCTGCTGTGAAGCGGGCGCTGTACCGGTCCGTCGAGGTGAAGAGAGAGCTGAGTCAAAAAGCGAAGCTCTCGATTTACCGGTCGATCTACGTTCCAACCCTCATCTATGGTCATGAGCTTTGGGTCATGACTGAAAGAACAAGATCACGGATACAAGCAGCCGAAATGGGTTTCTTCCGCAGGGTGGCTGGGCTCTCCCTTAGAGATAGGGTGAGAAGCTCGGTCATCCGGGAGGGACTCAGAGTAGAGCCGCTGCTCCTCCACGTCGAGAGGAGCCAGTTGAGACTCGGGCATCTGGTCTGGATGCCTCCTGGACGCCTCCCTGGTGAGGTGTTCCGGGCACGTCCCACCGGGAGGAGGCCTCGGGGAAGACCCAGGACACGCTGAGGGATTATGTCTTTCGGCTGGTCTGGGAACACCTTGGGGTTCCCCTGGAGGAGCTGGAAGAAGTGGCTGGGGAGAGGGAAGTCTGGGCCTCCCTTCTGAAGCTGCTGCCCCCACGACCCTACTCCGGAAAAGTGGAAGAAAATGGATGGATGGATGGATGGATGGATGGATGGATGGATGGATGGATGGATGGATATCTTCCTGTGTTCTCTGCTTTCTGTTCATATCTGTCAGAGTGGACCTGCTCCCTGCAGGCTGCAGCAAGACGGTATGATCAGACTTATGGCTTATTGATTAAACTGCTCTTCTAGTGATGTTGAACTTGTGCACTCTTTTTTTCCTCCATCCTTCATCCTTAAGCTGTCACTTATTTCATTTTATACAAATCTATGCCAGGACGCTCATCTGTCATCATCATCAGTGCACCACAGGACAAGGTTTAGCAGGTCATTTAGCCTCCCTCCAAACAGCTTCCACTGTCATTCCTACTGGCTCCATATTTCTCCATCTGCAGGGTAATCAGGTTTGTAGCCACAACAGATGTTAGATGGAAAAACACTGGCTTCCATGTGAGCAATAGAAATGGCTTCACAAAGAGACTCTTGAGACAAGATGGAGGACCATCCCATTTTGTCTCCACTCTGTAAATTCCAGAGAGCATCATTCAATAATTTGAACATTATGGTTTTAAGATAATAGTTGTCAAAGAGATATTATGCAAGCGAAAGAAGGAGGCAATCGGACCCTGCAGTGTGTGGTTGAAGCTTGTTGGGATGATTTCAGCAGAAATGTGCAGCCACTGCAGATGTAAGAATCATTTTGCTTGGCAAAAATGGTAGAAATGTTTGCTTTAAATTTGAACTCAAAGCTAAAAAATATTTTAGAATAAAGACCTACTGGCATCTTTAATAATCTTTTCAGATCGATAATGTCATTCAGTCCAACAGTAAAGGTGCTGTTACACAGTGTGACAGACAGATAGGAGAGGCTGAGCATGCTGCCTGCGTCAAGCCAGTGCTAAGGGTGATGGAGGAGGAGACGGTGTTGTGGATCCTGACAGCCTGAGGTCTGTCGGTCAGGAAGTCCAGAATCCAGTTCCCCAGTGTGGGACTCAGTCCAAGAGAGGAGAGCTTCTGCACCAGGGTTTGTATTACCATGTTATGACAGTATTGAGACAGATAATCTGTGAAAAAAAAACAAAAACAAAAACAAGCTTTTCCACCTTCTCCTAGTGCTGTATAAAAACAACCAATCAGAGCCAAGGGGGGAGCCTTGGCTCTCACAGTCATGCCTGTGTGTGCTCTCACCTGTCCATTCTCCCTGTCTCCCTCCCTTGCACTCAGCTAAGCTACAGTCATCAGCAGAGCCTGTTGTGAATGCTAAGGCTGGTTAG